CACACACACACACACACACACACACACTCATACACTGACCCTTTGTACATAAATTAATCTGCTTTTGCTTAGATAAACTGTTAAAAGTAGAAACCATAACGTTGTAGTGACAGCCATTTTATTGTCTATTGTTGTAACCAAATATTAATCATTCAATATTGCTCTCTTTTAATAAAAGTCAATTAATTTTAACTGGCCAACGTAAACCTGAATGACTTTGTGTGTTTCTGTGTATGTGTTTGATTGGTTATTTTTGCTTCAACAGTACCATCTTCGAACTGAGGAGGGAAACTCTTAATAAAAATCATATTCATGATTTTTAACGAGGGTTATCCCTACAGGTACAAACTGAGAGGTAACGCATAAAGATGGGGTTTGCTCAGTTCCTTGAAGCTCCAAAACACTCTATGAGTTCAGTGTAACAAGAGATGAACATATTTAAAGCTTCAAACAGTTAGAACATAAACTTTATTAAAAATGAACATAGTAGGAGTGACATTCAATGTTTCCACACAAAATACAGATTAAATTTAGTCTTAAACACCCGTGACTTCAATCAGCTGTGAGTGATTACAGCTGAGCTGGGTGCCTGGGAAACCAAGCACTACATCAGCAAAAAAAAATCCACTCCAGCTCACACTGCAGAAGAAAAAGTTAGTGGAAAAAACACAGAGAACCTGGAATCCTCACACTTTCATTTCTCTTCAAATGTCATGTTTTTTCAACATCTGATGAAGACTTTATTTCATACAACATTCAAGCCAACATGGCATTATTTTGATGTATCTTGATCATATATTGCCAAGATTGTCCAAAGGTTGACAGAAGAGGGCCTAATCTCATAATCATTTTATTCCAAAGTTATGTGGCATAAATACTTCACCCAGTTTATTTACATAACACATGGGTGGTTCCACTTAATTTCAAACTTGGGCCCTCTACCAGAGACGTCGGAGCTTGGGAGTTCTGTACATTATCTTAGCTGTTCCTTAGACTGCATTCTTTTGGATAGAGGTCTCTGAGGTTTTTCCTGG